ACTAGTAGTAGTAGTAGTAGTAGTAGTAGTAGTAGTAGTAGCAATAGCAGCAGTAGCAGTAGTAGTAGTAGTAGCAGCAGCAGCAGCAGCAGCAGGAGGAGTAGTAGTAGTAGTAGTAGCAGCAGTAGCACCAGTAGCAGCAGCAGCAGCAGCAGCGGAAGCAGTAGTAGTAGTAGTAGTAGTAGTAGTAGTAGTAGTAGTGGCTGCGGAGGTTGTAGTTCTTATTATTTCTTATTACTTTAGTGATGTTCATGGTTGTTGTCCTGATTGTCTGACTGGTTGATTGTTAAACTAATTCTCCTGCTGCTGCTTGTGATGTTGTTCGGCCGGCTCTGGCTGGCCCCAGTTCCCTGCCAAGCGGCTGGCGACGGCAGCCTCGGTGCTCTAGGTCAGCTACAGGACCGAGGCCTTTCTCATCGGGGTACCTTGCTAAAAGCCTGTAGAAGTGTGGCCCCAAAAACCCAAAAACAGATCCTGAAGCCTTACGCCCCAGACCAAAAACAATGCATGCTACAAGTCAACGAGGGGCAGCGTGATGAAGCGGGAGAGCTTCGTCACTGACACCAGGACCATGAGGAGCCCGGCAAGAATCACCTGAGCGTCACGCACGGGCACACAGTTGACGCGTCACACTCGGACAACGCTCCTAGGTTTCGGCGCTCAAAACTCGGACACTCCAAGCAAGGCAGAAGGTTCGATGACGGATTTGAATCTTGAAACAAACAGATTTGGTATTGTGGGGGATCTCAAGACATTTGCACCCCATAAGATCTGAACCTGCCAAGAGAAAGACGACCCTCACTGTCTCCTAAGTTTAAGGGATGACGACTACAGGATGGAGTTGCCCCATGGGTTCTATATCTGCAAGAGGCGCAACAGGCCTTCAAAGCTACGCATTCAATCCAGAATCCATCTAAATCCTGCACCCTAGGCCTGTAATCTCTACAACAAGCTCCGGGCCTTTTGCATTCTTTCGGCATCTGGTTTGCAGCAACTCAACCAGGACAGAAACGAGGGGCGCATCCGAAGCCCACAGCTTTAAGCTTTTTGCATTGTAGAATTGTAAACCCTCCACCGATTTCCTGCCCAACTCATCCCAAGCTGCTGAGGGGAACAACAGCTCAACGCCCTCGCCGTTGTTGCCGGTGCCGGCCGGCGGGATGAAGGTTCCAATCTCGGAAAGATGGCCGAGTCTGGATTCACACCCCCAAAGTGGGCTCAGGGCTCAGGGTTGCAGAGATGTTTCAATCGCTCGGTAAATTCAATCGTTCGTGATAGTCTCTGATAATTCTAGACCTAGAATTAAGATGGTTTAGTTGTTGCTCGGTCGTGCACGTCTAAGGTGCCGGTGCAACCCGGGGCTTAGAACTTCTGAGGCCTCTCGTGCGACTTCATGCAATAGGCCGAGCCTTACACCGAGCTAATTCCCTCGTCTGCAACGCATCTTCAGGGAAAGTATGAAGGATTGGAGCTCTCGCCGGGGATTCCTTCCGGGTAGAATGGACCACCCTCAATCACAGAGGTCTCCAGCCCTCAAGCCCGAACCCTCTCTTGAGCCTTCACAAAAGCCTTTTTAGGACCGGGCGATGGCCGCAAAAGCGCCGGTCGCACCTGCAGGCAGTCATCAACGCCTGTTCACGTCTTTACCTCTTGCGTTGCAAGCCCTGAACCTACACAGCTGGGTGTCACTACAACAAAGGGATCCAAGGGGGGGAACATTCCCAACAACCCAGAAACGCATGCCCCTCAGCAGCTATGGGGACAAAAACGCACGGAATATCTTGCACGGAAGAGACGAGGCCAGTGCAAAACGTGCAGATGTCGGTCATTGCAAGGGATCAGCCATCGCCACGGCAAACTCAATGTCCCGAAGCCCCAAGCAACTTAGCACGGCACCATTGACCATGCCGGGCCGTCCACCGAAAGCGCTGCAAATGAAACCTTGCGAGGTGCATGAAAACTGGTGAAGGTGCTGCCAGTGCTGTTGCAGAGGAAGACCGGTACTGCTGTACCATCGGGATCTTGCACAGAAGGATGTACGGCTTCAATAACCCATGCCCGTTCAGATCGTGTGTTAAATGCAAGTGCGCTGGAGCACTTTTTCGGCTTTCACTTCACACTCAGCTGGGAGGACTGGTTTTTAGCCAAGCTCTGGGAATCTTGCGGGGCCTGGACAAGGCCGGAGGCTCACGAAAGAACGGCACCCAAAGCTTGAATCGGCTCAGCTAGGACCCAGCTCCCACTCAGTTCAGTCAAGTGGCCAACTATCCATGCGGCATGCAGGGCAATCGGGGGCTTGATGTTAGCCTTGCAGCAGAGATTGTTTATTCGGCTGCAATACCTCGAAACCATTGCGAATGACTACTGGCACGATCACTCGCGTTCGTTCACAACAGAAACACTCACGCGACAGTGAACGACCAATTTCGGACACTTTCGCAGGGACAACCTGTACATTTAGGTGCCAAAGCAAGCATGCTCGGGGGCCCTAGGTGTGGTTTTGGCTGCCACAAATGCATGACTGATTCTGCACAGCCGTGCTGGTAGGTGGCTTCCATTCTGCGGCCAGCCGACTGCATCTCAAGAACAAGTAAGGCCTTGTCAATGTGCACAGTAAATGGGTAGTTCTCTACTCAGGGTCCCTTTTAGGGTCCATTGTATAAGGGTGCCGTACTATATTGGGGACCTAAAAAGGGACCCTAATTTAGACAACCACCCAAATAGTAAAGGCCTTCATTTCGAAAGGTCTCTCTGGAAGTGTTCCACCATCCTTTTCCACTTACACCGCTCTAATCACGCCAGCACGTGGGAGAGCTTCAGAAAACAAGGGGACCCTGATAAGAATAACCCTAAACAATCGGATCCTGACTTTATGTTTATAAGGGCCCCTACACCAGGTACCCCCTAATTTTAAGAAACTGCCAGATCTGAGAGCAGCTCCATGAATGCAAAGGCCACCTCAGAGGCTATAGTAATCGCGAGGATTTGGGTTCGATGTTGTTTCGGTTTATGCAGGGCTTGCGGAGGCCACTCGCATCGGTTTCGCGTTCGGGGCTTAGGGCCACTCGGGTCTTAGGAAGTTAGATTAATGTCATAACACTAGACTTCTGGGAGTTTCCAAGGGTCAGGAGAAGGCATGGTGGGATCTTGGGGCTTGTAGAGTCTTCCCATGCAACCTGACGCAATGGAGTCGAGAAGCTTGGGTGTCTGAGGCCTGACTGAGCTCAGCAAGTATAACGAGGCACAGGGGTCAGAACAGTTCTGCAAGGGCAGGCCGGAGGTGTCTTTGAAACTGAAGCTGCGTAGTGCCGTATGAGGGCAAAGCAAACGCAGCTCGCAATTAAGATCCGAACTGAACCGTATGCTCTTTAAGCCCCTTGGCTGCCACAACACCTCTCGTCTCGACTACTTTAAGGCCACATGGTCGACTTGCATCTAAGTCATCTTACCAGGCCGAGAGGCAGATTCGGGGATTTGCGCAAAGCAGATCGTCACACCTCAAGGCCACAAGGGTTCAAGCCAAAAAGATGTACAGGTTTCAAGCCAGGCGCACCAGGGTTTGACCCCCCAAACCAAACATCTCGAGCCCTACAAAGTTCACATTGGGCTCTTACTTTGCACCCCATCTGCGAGACAAGCGGTCTTCAACAGCTTGCAAGGGTCCGTCCTGTCACCAAGCAGACAATTGCATTTCCAAGACATGTAGGAGAAATGGACGGGGGATCCTCACGAACGGCAACAGTATCTGCAAAGCTTCATCAGCATTGCTAGTGTGTATGGTGCATTCAGCATGCAAAATCATCGGAAGAGGTGAGGTGGTCATGAACTCGTCCTAGGGCCCGTAGACTACTGAAACATTGTTGTGCAACAGTGCCGCTAACTTCTTCAGGAAGCATTCACCCCGAGCAATGAATCCTACCCTGACGAACTCAAGACCTCCTTCAAATCGACGGACAACTGTCTGCTGCTTAGTAGGGAATGGGGGAATGGGTCAAAGGGACTACTATAAGGGACCCTAAGGGACTATCATAGGGATCCATTCCCCCATTCCCCACCAGACAGACAACACCCGTGGAAGGCTGGCTCCTGAAGCTTCGAGGAGCTGTGAAACCTTCAAACAACCGAGACCTGCCTAGGTCCTAGAGATTTCTAGTCATACGGGTTCTGAACCTGCCCAAACCTGATGAAGATGCTTCCAACCTTTGCCGAGAGGCCAAGAAGCACCTCTCGGATGACGTATTCTGTGGACAAGCCTTCACCTGATGCTCTTTTGATTCTCACGATCTGCTTAGGGGGTTTACTGAAGGACTATGACCAAGAGAAATTAGCAGCAGCTGTCTCGTCGTGGACGAAATAGAAGCAGCAGCAGCAGCAGCCGCAGCGGCAGCAGCGCTAGTAGGAGGAGTTGCAGCGCTAGTCGCCGTCCTCACCTTCTTACTTCTTCGCGCCAAGTAAAATCAGGAGTTGCAGAGCATTAGTGCATTTCAACGGGCAATCTAGTATAAAGAGGGCACAGGCAACAGTTCAATCATTGTGCTCACGCGCCTGATGATGGTCAAGGTTCACTTTGAAATTCCTTCCGTTCATAAAGCCCTTCTTTTGCTGTTCTTGAACGCTCCTAGTACTCGTGTGGCTCACTGGCATTACTACCATTGCTTTGCTCGAAGAAAGGCTGTCGTGCCTAGCAAGCCTCCAGCCCTGCAGATTTCTAAACAAACTCGCAACATCTACGGAATCTATGGGAACCCGAAACAATGCTTTTCCGATCGAGGCACCATACTTCCCGAGGTACCGCTCGAAGATGCTTTTGTCCCCTGCTTTCGGAGAGTAGTTTGGGGTGGTTAGCCTTTGAAAAGCTTAGCTGCGATCACCGCAACACCAGAATCACACCGGCAGTAAACGCCATGCACGAACAAGCGAGCAAGAGCAGCAACAAACGACGACTTCCCTAAACGAAATAAGAATACCAAGGAGCCTTAAAACCTCATTCCGAAAGCAAACCAGGCTCCCTAACAGAAAACCCGTCGGTAGATCTGGCCTGAGCCTTGCTACCTTCGTGAGGATGCCCTTTGATGTACCAAAGCAGGCCGCTAGGCTCTACGGCTCTACGGCTCTAGGTGCTTTCTTTGTTGGTCCGGTTTGTATTCAGAGAGGTATCGAATCGCTTGCAGAAGGAGCTATCTCCAGGTCGTGTCGTGGGGCCGGGAAGGCTCCGGCCTCCTCTGAAGGATGGAACACCTCTCAGGTGAAGCCCCGAACCTGAAAACTGAGTAAGGTGCTTCAAGAGCAATGAAAGGCCCTTTCTGAAAGGGCTTGGGGTTGAGGGTTTAGCTTTAGTTTAGGGTTTTGAGTAGCCTTGTTAAATACTTCACCCGGCAGATTCGCAAACCTTCACCGCGGCGCAGGGCTTTGCTGGACATCTTCACCACCTTCTCCTGTTCACATTTAGGGGCCTGTTTTTTTTTCTGCCTGGGGTGCTACTGCTGATGTTTTAAATCCTCCATTACCTCAAGGACCCCAAACTACTGCAATTCTGGATATCATGGGTAACTTTAGGTTTTGGGGTTTTAGGGTTATGCAGGGTTCATGTCATCAACCCTATCTCTCTCGTCGGCTTTTGGGCTTCAGGGCTCAGCTCAAACTTGAGGCCTCCAATATGGGGGTTTCCGAAACTAGGGGACCTGACTATAGTACTACAAATAGTAGGAGCCGGACTATAAGTACCCCAAAATAAGGTACCCCTTCTTGTCGCATTCTCCAATATCTCTTGAGCAGTTGGGATTGTCTTTGCCACATTTTGCGGTTGCTGTAGAACGCTCTGCTTTCTGGTATGGGTCCCGGCTCGAGTTCGCACACCACCCAAGAACTCGGCAGTCGCATGAAGGCTTTCAGCTTACGATGGTCGCATATGGGTAGTTCTCTAAATTAGGGTCTCCTTTTTGGGTCCCCAATATAGTACGGCACCCTTGTAAAAAGGACCCTAATAGGGACCCTAATTTAGAGAACTACCCATATAACAGGCTTGGATGTAGACCTGATGTGCGCACAGATTTGGGCGGTTGAGGGAGGACATAATGACGACAGCTGCAGTGAAATTCGCCGAGCCTGCACGACCAAAACGTGGGGCCGCGGCGCGAGGGTCGGGCTTTCGTTGGTATTTGCTGAGGGCCAACAGCTGCCATCGAGTTCAGGCTCCCAGATTGCCGCGCAACCCTCGGCCTTCAATCGGACAACCGAAAACCCCAAACCCACCAAAGCCTAGACTCTTCTAATCTACTATCCGCCAAACCACGAAACACATCAGTCCGACCCGTCAAACTTGACACCCCCACGACCAGCAAGTTGGTTTCTTGCCTGGACGAAAGAGTGTCTGCGGCCAAATGTGCAGAGGACGGATTGGGCGCGTTCGTCGCGTCGGGCATCTGGTACGTCATATGCTGAATTACAGCCATAATTGAGATACTGACACACCGTCTTGGTAGCCGGGGCACGATTTATGCAAACGCCTTGTCTTTGATAGTCTAGGATTCGACCACGACGTTTGCAGGCAGCTCGCTCTTTCACTCCCGCTTCCCGCGAAAATTCGGACCGTGCGAGGGTCATCGATTCCGGGAAAATCTCCCATGCCCCTAAAGATCGGGCCCAAGTTAAACCCCATGTGCCTGAAGAGATCCATGCTTCTAGTGAAGTCCGACGAGGCTCATCGATGGCCCTCTCGGCACAGGAAAATTGAAGCAGGAAGCCGTGCAACTCGGCAATGCCAAGGTCACCACTTGGAGCAGTTGAACCTAAACCCCAAAGCCTAGATCCCGGAGGGCTGCGGATACTTAAGAGATGAGCTGCTTCGGATCCTGCACGATGCCCCTTCGACAAAAAGGTCGCATAGGCTGAGGGACGTTCGAAAATCGGCCCGGAGGGGCCTGCTACAGCGAACTTGCCGGGTGTTCCGTGCTTCCTGTCGTACGAGTAGTTGGTGTCTTGCCACCAACACCCAGAGAGCCTAACAAAACTATGATAAGGCTTGTGGAAGGCTGCGCGCGCTGCCCGCACACAATCACACAAAGAAGCTGTCCTCAAGCTTGCTTGGGCTGAGAAAACCCCGACCGTACCCTGCATCTTTTTTGCACCCCGGCCTCTTACAGCATGTAGGGCTAAACCCAACAATTCTTGCAATGAGCACGAGTCTAACGGTCTCTCTCTCACGGACTCAGAAGTGGCTCGAGTCTAAAAACACAAAAGCCGGGGTCGGGACGAGCTCTGAGAGCTTGTCCAGGGGTATGTCCACCTGAATCCTGAGCGCAGGGATAAAGGGAAGACTGAGCGGTGTCTACATGTTTAGGAGCACGGTCAACTGAGAGACACCACGAGGCTCTGCAGGTGCTGAGTTGATGGCAGTCCAAGATCCAGAACAATAGCACATGACCCAGCACGGCCCTGAAACCCTCAATACTCTAGGCCACAAGACGAGGGACCATGTGCACCTTTAACTAAGACAGAAGAGGATCTCAATTCGCCGCAAAAAGCAATGAGAATTGTAGCAAGCTTCCTTTGGCACTTACAGGCTCCTGACTGAGACGCTCTCAAAAGATGGCCCAGGCGCTTCTCCGGCGGCGTGTCCTTTGGGCACCGCAAATCCTCACGGAAGTGTGAAGGCTTGGCAATGCAAGCTTGGCAAACCGCATGATGGACATGCAACTGAAGCTCTGCGCTGAAAGGTGGTTTTGGAGCTCAGGAAGGATCCTCCAACATCTTCTAGGCGACATTCTGGACTCTGGACACCCTGGTACTACTTGTAAATTCCCACGCCAGCGCGATCGAGCTTCAGGAACTCTGCGTTCGAGCCTGGGGAACGCAGGTCTGAATTTTGCGCTGGCGCTTCAGGCTGCCAGTGAGTGCAGAGGCCGCAGCCCTTGTAAATCACCACTTCAAGAGTAAGTGCAACTGCAGAGGCGTGCCTGCATCTTCGCAACGCTCATCACCCTACAAGGCTTCTTTTTCTGTCCTTGACCCGGACCTCACCCTTCTCCCACTCGTCGGGTGCCACGAAAGCGATCTTCGCGGCTCCCACCTACCAGGCCAAGAAGAGCAAAACTAAACAGAACGATTGCCTTTCAGCATCAGTTGGACTCAAAGCAACAGTACCCGAGTGCCGTTTCCTACCCATGACGCCCAAATTCACGCCTCAATCATGCCTGCTAGTCAACCACGGGAGGCCAGCGTCAGTTGGGAGGGTCCGGAACACGTGCCACGAAAACTAGAAGACGAGTGGCCCGAAAGCATCATTAGCCATGAGTTTTGGGGCCATGAGTGTCGGCTATAGAGAGTCTATAGAGAGTCTATAGAGAGTGTCGCAGAGTCAAGTGTGGTAA